CCGCACCGCGCTCAGCCAGTGAGCGCACCAGCCATCCCCGTATAGGATCCGAACCCGCGGCGGGAGTGCCACTGTGCTCCCAGCGCCGCACTCTCCCGAGTGCGCCACGGGCTCGGCCCAATTTTGGGTATAAATTTCAATGACTAAGAAATGACCCAGTTCCTGTTCTTTTAGAAGAAACAGAGAGAGAGAGACAAAAAGAGAGTAAGTTGAGGGAAAGGAGATACCCAAAACAAGTTCAGTGTTAAGTGCAGTAAATGAGATACGTGCTGCAGTCAAGGAAGAGAAACCAGCATTTTTTGAGTACCTATCAGATGCCAGGTGCTTTAAAAGAACAGGTAAGGGAGAGATCACAGCTTGCGAGGCCGGCCCGTGGCTCACTCGGTAGAGTGCGGTGCTGATAACACCAAGGCCACGGGTTCGGATCCTATATAGGGATGGCCGGTTTGCTCACTGGCTGAGAGTGGTGCTGACAACACCAAGCCAAGGGTTGAGATCCCCTTACCGGTCATCTTTAAAAAAAAAAAAAAAAAAAAAAAGACAACTTGCGGAGAAGAAAGGAGAAATCCAGGAAGGCTTCCTAGAGAAGGGAGCATTTGACATGAGCCTCGAAGGATTCGCTGGGTTTCAGTAGCCTCGGTGCCCAACATCTACCCTTCAAAAAATAATCTCCTCCACAAAGAATTGCCAAAGGATTAAAAATCATGTCAAATTCAATCAAAAATCAATGCTGGAATATGAGAAGAACTTTCTTAATCAAGCAGTTCCAGAACATTCCCAATTCTTGGCTACATGAGTAATGGGCAGGGAACTATAATGTCCCAGGCAGACTAATAAGGTACACCCTTCATAGACAGTCACCAGGAGTGGAATTGGAACAGGGCACTGAGGGTCTGACATGGGGAAGGCGTGTACCCCAAAGATGGTAGCTATTAGCCAGCACAACCCCTAAGACCTGAGTCCCTGGGAACCGCAGTGCTTTGGAACAGACTGGCTTGCACTGCGAATGTTTAAAGCAAAGGGCAAAGAATATTCCTTCAAGTTCATTTTCACTGCAGCTTGTACTTGGAAACTGGATAGACTGGGTGGTGGCTGTCCAGCCCCTCTAGTCCAATATTTGACTCCATGGAAAGTCACAAGCCCTGGTCAGGCCCTAATGAGCACTCACAGCCCCTCCCTGACAGTTCATCTTTCAACATGTCAGGCTGAAGTCATCTGTCACAGGTATGAACAGTCCCATAGGATGGAAGGTTACAATTTAGAAACCGTTGTAATCTGTTCTTTTCTAATGCTTATAATTATGCTCATTTTAAGTTTAATGAGGGACAAGGCCTTTGCCTTACAGCCTGGAACCTAACGTTAAGAGTCCAGGACAGAGGATGGAGGGGACCCACGGGGACCCTGAGCTGCCACACCATGAGCATTAGCATTTCCAGGCCTGCCAGAGCCCTGAGTATCAGCAGTTTTACGAGCAGGACAACACATCTTGTCTTTTGCCCCTAATCTCACCCCTCCAAAGCCCAGACCTGAGTTACCAGAAAAGGTGGAAGGTGGAGGGAACGGGTGGACAAAAGAGGAAGAAAAGGAGACGGAAAACAATTTTGAAAAACCCTTCAACAGAACCCGATAACCCAGAGTACCCGGTGACCGGCGCCGGACGGCATACAAAAGCCAAAAGGCAGGTCCCAGGACGGGTCAACTTAAGAATTAATATTTGCCTTCCACTAAGCAAACTAATAAATCCCCTGCCGTTTTAGCCACGCAGAGCTCCCGGGAGCTTTTATTTATTGGTCAAAACAGCAGGCAGTTTTTTTGTTCCCCTTCCAGTCACCCGGGGGTAAATAGTTGTCCCTGGTCCACCCCTCCTGTCATCTGCCTGTATGTCAATTTGACTTCTCGCTCAACACACTCACGTTTGGTGCAACTGACAAGTGCAAACAGACAGCTTTGAGGCATTCTTTGGTGATGGACTTCCAAGGACAGCTCTGTTTCGACTTGGGCAGAGAAGGCGAAGGGAGAAAGGGCTGGGTCAGGCAAGCCAGAGGCCTTGATCCTTAGAGGATCGCCATAACCAACCACTTCCCCCCGCCCTGTGCCCGATAGAAGACAGAGACCCAGAGAAAAGGCCTGCGTGACTGATACGTGATCTTGGAGCAAGTTGAAGCAAAGGCAGGACCAGAGTCCAGGTTTCCAGACATTGGGGCTCTTCTCAGGCCTCCTTCCACCATCTTGGCATGTATGGGTATTATTCAAGGTCAGGGGCTATTTCCAAAGTCACCCTTAAGTCCTTTAAGCCACAGCCTCCTGAGCAGGGGGACTTGCTTCACGACGAGAACCTCCTATCTTTCTGTCAACATTATTCTAACATTTTCCCACACAGGTTTCCAGGGCCATTTGAAGAAGATAAAAGTTTTCTCATGGGTCAAGTTTCCAATGCCATGGAAAAATCTCATGGGGAAGCTTAAACGAAATTGGGGAGGGGAGGTACTTGAAATTAAGTTATGCTTAGGATGAACGAGGAAAGATGAGCATTCAGCACGTGGGTGAAGTAACTCTACGTTGTACCTTAGGCAATGTCTAATATACTATTCTAACATGGAACAAAAGATAGCAAATCTTTAAGACCTGAAGGAGAAAGCTAATGGTTTATGCATCATAAAGGACAGCATCGTGGATGTCAGGACTAGCAGAGGCTCTGGGGATTGGGGGGCCCAACCCCCTCGTTTTATAGAAAAGGAACCAAGATGAGAATTTCTGAGACAAAAACTCAGACAAAAACAAAAACCTTGTCTCTCTGCCCTTTGCCAGCATAAAATATACTACCTGGATCCAGAAAGATGTGGGGGAGAAGCAAAATGCATTTAGCTCAAAATCTCATTAAGAAATTGACATTCGTGACCACTTGGCAGTCTGTGACTTGCTCTTTAAAATTCTCCAGCTTCCCCATTGGGTTGAATATCATTCGTCTTCTCTCACTGTTCTCTCCCACTCTGCCAAAAAGGCTACCTCCCCCAGGGTTGGACAATCCCTTGCCAGATGTTTGAAAGGGGATTCCTGCATTTGTCAGAGATAGATCTGGAGCAGAGTGATGCTTTAGACCACTCAGCCTCTGGGATTCTGGGTTTCTATGTGGATGAAAAGATAGGAAAGGAGTGGGGGGATTGTTGCCTTTGGCACACAGCAGGACTTCTTCTGGATGCATGCAAGACATAAATGAAGGAAGCATCTGAAACACATTCATCTTTCACAAAAGAAAAATGGCACCCAAGTTGCTGGGCTAGCTTCCCTCCAATGGTGGTGAAGGTGGAGAGAGTCGGTACAGGGGAAAACACCGAGGTGCATGGGGGATCTCATGAGTAATGAGGGAACAGACTCTGGCTGTCTGCACACTCATCTCTACCCTAGCATGTAATTACGCCCTGTGGCCACGCCACGCACGATGAGTGGGATTAGCTGAAGGCCCATGTGTTCCAGCACCGAGGACGCTTATGCCTGTCTTTCATCAGAAAGATGGAGGCTGGATCCCCTGACAAGCAGCAACAACATCAGGATGCCATGCGATCCTGAAAACCTGGCTTTTTCTAACCTGCAAAAGAACCTGTAATTTGCCTTCAGATTGTTCTTACTTGTCATGAACACCAAAAAAATTGAGCTGGCACAATGCTCCCCTCCTCCGTCCCTCCCCCACCACTTCCAAGTTCCGTTCCCTTAGCCCAGATAAAGTCAGTGTCTGGAAAGGCAAGAATAGGCTGGGAGGTCCCACTCGACACTCTCTGAGTTGAACTCAAAGGTTATCTAGGAGACTTTAGGGAGAAAGTACATACTTAGCCCCAATTTACATGCCCTTGATATTTTAAAAGATTCTAGAGTTCAAAGGAATTTCAGGATGTCCTCTAGCCAACTCCTCTGCTCTCCAGACAACACCATCCCAAAGATTTTAGCTCTTTGTGTAATGAAGATGCAGGATTTTGTTCTTGGCTTATTATTCTATATAGTGTATGCGTGTGTGCATGTGTGCACATAAGCACATGCACACACGCATATGCCACGATCTATTTTCCTCTGTTCCCAGTGGTCGTGTTAGTTTCCATTTCTTAATAAGTGGTCAGTTTCACCTTTATGAGTAGGACAACCTTGGAGTGGAATCCCTGACACCTTGATGCCTGCCATGCTTACTATCCACAGCAGTCTGCAGAAGGATGTGGTCTCTGCTGGTTCTTCACACTAAGGTTTTTATCAACTATCATGCAACCCTACCATCCTGGAAACAACTGCTTTGGTCAAGATTGGTGCTTGTCCCAATGGCATCCATATATAGGCTATCCAGTGGCCAGTGAAGTGCCCAGACAAAGAGCTCTGAATGGAGACTGGTCAAACCAATCAGGAGCATTAGTCAGTGACAGTAGGTAACATAGAAGTAGAGGCAGGGCCATTGAGTCACCCACTAGGATGACCCATTGCTCCTTTTTGCCCAGGACTGTCCTAGGCTTAGCACTGAAAGTCCCTCATCCCAAGAAACCCCTTAGTCCTGGGCAATCTGGGACAGTCAGTCATCATCGCATCAGCAGAATTCTAGAGTCAGGGGCAGTGACTCCTGCTGCTCAGCAGAGGGTCAAGAAGACCACGATATTAGGTTATTGCTATCCCTGGAAACCATCTGTAGCTACTGGGAAGGTTGAACAACTTTGGGCTGCCAGCTGGGCAGCCTCTGGGACTGTTTCCTGTCTGCCTTACTCCTTTGTAACTTTAGAATAAACCAGTATTCATGGAGGTCATACCGTGGGTCTCTGTTCCCGGAAACCTGAAGGAATCCAAGGAATACAATGGCTATCACTGTGTGTCAAGGAAGGAAGGCGAAGGCCCATAATCTTTCAATTTCAATAACATCTTTAAGAGGTTCCCTTCCATCACCTTGTGGTGAATAAGAGATACTAAGAAGGACCCCACTTGGAAGACACCGACATCATTAAATGGTCACACAAACACATTCACAACACAGGGAAGCTGAAATTCTTTTACAAAAGCAAGCTGCCCATTCATATTATTCCATTCGTTATATTCCTTTGGAAATAAGGAAGTACAAACATCTTTGACTCTTCATTCTGGACAAGGTTGACCATGACATGTTTAGGAAGTACTCTGAACCATGCACACGGTGGTTACAGAGTAAAAGGAACAGACAAGACGCAAGCTGTTGTCAGGCGTGTGTACATCCTCACCACACACTGGGGGCAGGGGGTCCGTGATTAACACCGGCAACCCTGCTAGCTGTCTCATCTGTCATGAAGCCTCATGATCTGGCATGGACTCCAGCTGCCACCTGAGAGAAGAGGGTCTTCAGAGCCTACTGTGCATCTGTGTCATAGAAGAGAGTTGGAATGAACAGCGGCGTTCATTGTTTGCCCTTCTGGATGTATACTCGTGTGTGATCCGAACAAAGGAAGTTGCACATGAAGAACGCCAGCCTTCGCGGTCCAGCTCCCCTGCTGAAGCCTTCTCCAACAGCCCTCACGTCCAAGAGCCTGGACAACTTCCACACAGCTTCGTGCATTACTCCCCAACCTAGGGAGACAGATCCCAAGTGAACGAGGAATACTATTCCAAGGCTGCTCACAACACACACACACTGGCTTCTTTAGAAAGAGCAGGAACAAAAATTAAGATCCCACTTGACCTAAGTATAGTTAACTATTCACTCTGCATCTGGCCAGAAGGTAATGGAACAAATAAGAAGAACTGCTGAGTCCAAAGGCACAGCCAACACGGAGGTGCAGGGCAAGAAGGGTGTGGTAGGAAGCCCATTGGCTGCCGTGGAGGGGGTGGGGGTAGGGTCGCATGAGCAGGCAGCAGCAGAGGAAACGTTTTCCACAAGAAAGAAGAACGAAGTCTGGGATGATGAGTCTTGTCCTCCTGCAGAGCACCTCCAGAGATGCATGTCCCTGCTCTTCGGGTGGACACGTAGATTATTCCTCAGGGTGAGGATCTTTACTTTCTACCCAGATGTCTCCTCAAATCCAGGAGTCTCTTCTTCTCCAAAATAAGAATTTGCCTTTGAATCCAGAGCTCCTGCCTCTCAAGAGGTGGTCCAACCTTATCCACGTCCTTCAGGGAGGTCCTGGTGGCATTTGTTGGCTCCACTAAGCTTCCTGGAAAGAAGTGTGGGTGAGGAAGAGCAGTCCTTATCTGTCCTCTTTTCCAGGCCTGTGGATCAAAAAAAAACAGCATAAGAGTTAGAATCCGGCTTCTGCTCTTCCAAGAGATGTCTTTATAGGTGAGCATCACTTTACCATCATTGGTCCATAATGTTCTAGCTACTGAATGAACATGCACTTCCAAAAGCAGTATTTTAGTTAAGAAAAAAAAAAAGCCTATTTATACCTCTCTGGGTATTCCCTGTTTACTGAAATCATCACCAGGAACCCTCCTATACAAATCCCACCACTACACCCAGACTATGACTTTTTTAAAATACCACTGAATACAGCCAGCCCAAATGAAGTGGAAAATTCTGTTTTTCAGCGTGTCACTCTTATTTCGGTGGGATATGTGGCAGGGAGCGTGGAGGTGTTAGAACGCCCACTTTACAGACAGGTAAACTGAGGCCGCAGGCACTATTCACAGCACTCTTGAGGAGGATGTGGTGCCAGGGTTCGCAGTACAGAACGGCAGGAGTCTGTTTCCCATTCCTAGTGTTCACTCTAGCTGGAACTTCTCTCTGCTTTTGTGCCTCCCTAAACAACTAATTAGGAACTTATGAAGAATGGATCATGGCCCATCAGCGGAAATGGGAAGCCAACAGTAAACACATTTCTCTTTCCCGAATGCTGACAGCAAATAGATTAAGATGAACTTGAACTCATTGTATTTTCCTTGTTTCCCCCGTGTCTCCAATAACTCCTCATTTCTGAGTAACAAATATATTTAATATCACCAATTGCTCTCAAGGGACTTCCCCATTTTAAAATTTATTGGTCTCAGCAGCGCAGGTATCTAGTCCCATGAAGGAGGCTGCTCTCTGGGTCTCTGGTTCTAGCAATCACTCTCAGCCCATAAGGGATAACTTGGGCAACTACAAATCCATGTACTCACAAGTACCATACTGGCTTAGATGCTATGGGTACAGAAATAAACCAGACAGGCAAACCCCACCCTCACAGGCCATAGGAGAGAGGCACTGATCAAGGGTTTCCTCTGGCAAGCATCCACAGGGAAATACACCAAGGATGATGGAGGCATTCTGGAAACCACAGTCCCCCTTCCGTCCCTCAACAGATCTGTGAGGGTCACAGCCCACCTGGTACAGAGAGGCTCTCCATCCTGTAGGCTTTGCCCAGGCAACTACCATGAAACCCAGAGAGAAGGTGCTGATGGCCAGAGATGGAGGATGTCACAGCGAGGGCCCAGGGGGGACGGAGTAGAGAGAAGAACTGGGAAAGGAGAGAGAGTCTGCAGTTTAAGGTCACCTACAGAAAAATACATAAAAAAATGAAGAGGCAGCCAGTGTGCAGACGCAGAGGCACCCTGGCTCTCCGGGTAGCTCTCTGATTGGGGGTCAACAAGGAAACCAGGAGTCCCCCCCAGGTGTTGCCCAGCCCCTCTTCACGTTTCCTCTCATTTGGACCTGAAAACACCCCCAAACAAACCCAAAGTTCTGCTACCCTTTCTCTGGTTTCCATTCCCCTCCTGGGCAGCGGCCCTCAGAGCTGTCTCAGGGAGAGCCCACGAGAAGCCTTTTCCCCTGGGAGACGCACGCAGCTAGCAAATTAATTGGCAGCAGCCTGGGTGAATCACACAGGGACTTCCTTCTTGTTGCCCAGCAACTGCATGCACTTGGCAGTGGGACATGAAACACAGAGGGGAATGTTGTGAGGCATTTGCAAGATAAAATAAAAAAGCAAAACATAGAATACCCCAGACTCTCACCCCAGCATGGCAGACCTAGCCAAGGGGGGACATGGGGGGTCGGTGGTGAGGGAACCAACACAGAAGGAAAATGCAGTTAGGAGGCTGAACCCCTCCCTCCCCTCTCCCATGGAACTCTTCTAGGTATAGCATTTGCATTTGGCCAAAGACACACCCCTGTTAGCCTAGAGAAAGGCAATAGGAGACACACAAATTAGAAGGCACCTAGAGATCTCAAAGATTACTCAGAATTACAGTGAAGGTTTATGAAGCTTGCTATGAAACCACCGTTTCTGCTGTTTATGCTGCTCTGTAGACATCACTCCACAGGTTAAGTCACTCTGGCCAAGGTGACACAGCTACCTCTAGGGCAGGATCCTCCCCTCCCACCCCCAGTCCCTTTCCTCTTGAATGTTTTCATGCCTGTTGCTATGGCCACTGGGAGCTGATTGGACAAGCCCGCCAGCACGCTGCCTTGCCCTTGAAACTTCCTTTCTGGCCTCTTCTAAAACTCCCGGACAGAAGTGAAGAATACATGTTCATTCTGTCTTTGGAACAATCCATGGAAGAAAAATGGGGGCAAGGAAGGAAGAAGGGTTGCAGAGGCTCCTGTGGCAGGTTGATTAACAGTCCCCAAAGACAGCCATGGCCTGATTCCTGCAACCTGCGAATGTTACCTTAGACGGCAAAAGGGACCATGCAGGTGTGATTAAGAAAAGGATCTTGACATGCAGAGATCATCCTGGATTATCTGGGTGGACCCTAAATACAATCACAACTGTCCTTATAAGACAGAACCAGAGAGAGATTTGAGACACAGAAATAGGAGATACGATAACAAAAGCAAAAAACTGGAAGGCATCAGGAAAGAGGTCACAAGGTAAGGAAAGCAGGTGGTTTCCAGAAGCTAGAAAAGGCAAGGGGATGGATTCTCCCCTAGAGCTTCCAGAAGGAATCAGCTTTGCAGAAACTTAGACTTTAGCCCAGTGAAGCTGCTCTCCAGAACTGTAAGAGAATAAACTTGTATTGTTTTAAGCCACTAAGTTTGTAATCATTTAGCAATAAGAGACTAACCTTGTCAATCAGGGTATATACTGTGTCTGTATTTCCCCATAAATTTTTGAAGACGATGTCGCAGTAAGGATCCAGGTTACCATGGAATGGAGTTGGACAGAAGGGGTGGGCTCCAGAACTTGGCTTAGAAAGATCTAACCAACACCCTGCATGCTCAGGCTCAGTAGAAAAAAGGGCAGGTCTCTGAGAGCAAAAGAAGAAGTAGGCCAGGCTTTGAAGGGGTCTGTTAAATTATACCATTTGCTGCCTGTAACTTGGGCAGGTAGTTTAATCTCTGAAAGCCTCAGTTTCATCATTGCAAAATAGAGATAATATAATCATCTACCTTGCAAAGCTCTTAAGATTAAATGAGATAATACATGAAAAGCACCTGGCATGCAGATGCCAAATAAATAACTCTTAGGAAAGATTAGGCATGCACATATGGGCAGAAGCTGTTACTTGCCCACCCCAAAATCTATTCTCTCCTTTCTACTTAGGAAGAGAACACTGATATTTGGCTGGCATGGGGCAGCAGAGACTTAAAAAAAAAAAAAGAGAGAGACTACATTTCCCAGCCTCCCTTGTAGCTAGATATGGTCATATGACTAAGATCTGGCCAATGAGAGATGAGCAGAAGTATTGTGGGACTTCTGGGAGGCTGATCAAAAGGTTCTGGAAGGAGCCCTTGACTACCTTCTGCTTTCAATGAGAATGTGATGGCTAGTGCTCCAGCAGCCATCCTGGACTATGAGGGACACTTTCAATGTGGGAGTCATGTACTGAGATGGTTTAATAAGATAGGAGCCTGGATCCCTGATAACTTCAGAGCTGCCACTCTGGTTAGCCTTAAGTAACCTTCCTCTGGATTTTTGTCATGAAATGCTTTTCTGTCTTAGTTAAGTCATTGTATTAGAGTTTTCTAGTAATCATAATGGATACAATATATCTAGGCAAACAGGATTCAGAGTCATTCTAGAACAATGTTTCTCCAAGCATAGCCCTGGACCAACAACTTCAGTATTACCTGGGGACTTTTTAGAAATGCAAATTCTTGGGCTCCACCCCAGACTTACTGAACCAAAAACTCTGAGAGTGGAGCCCAGCAATTTGTGTTTTTACAAGACCTCCAGGTGATTCTGATGCACACTAAGCGTGAGAACCACTGTTCTAGAGCAAGAGTTCTCATTAGGCACATCTGGGGCTGCATAATTCTCGGTTGTGTGCAGCTGTCCTGTGCATTGTAGGATGTTCAGCGTCATCCCTGGCCTCTACCCAGAGCACCCCTCACCCCAGTTGTGACCATCAAAAATGTCTCAGACACCACAGTAAAATTGCCCCCAGTTGGGAAACACTGCCCAAGAGTAAGTGTTCTTTCTTGACCTTGGCTGCATGTTAGAATAACCTCGGAAGCTTTTCAAAATTCCAATGCTTCGGCCTCGCCCCAGCCCAGTTAAATCAGAGTCTTTGAGGGCGGGCCTGAGGTAGCAGTTAAAGTTCCCCAGGTAAGTCCAGCATGCAGCAATGTTAAGAGCCACTGCAGCAGGCCAGCAGGTCCAGAGAGGAACTGTCTGCTCCAAGCTGGATGAAGGTTCTGAATCCTGATCATGGGAAGCATACAAAATGTTCCCAAGCAGGAACTGTAACAAGAGTGGCTGGGGTAGACTTGGGAACCTTCCTAGCTGCCAGATGGGCTGGAATTCCTGGCGGCTGTGTCACCTCATTTCCCATAAGAACAGGGTGGACACCTTTCAGTCTCTCACATGAATAACCACACAAAGCCTCAGTTTCCTCCCCTAATAAACACAGCACACAATGAGCCGGCTCCCACGAGGTGCAATAAACATTAGCTCACTCGACAAAAAGAACTGTCTTAATAAAGACAGTGATATGGCAGTGGGGCCTATTTAGAAATGGGGAGCCTAAGTTCTCTTTCCAACTGGTAAACCCTATAGGCATTAAAACCAGGATATTCCAGGCCGGCCCGTGGCTCACTCGGTAGAGTGCAGTGCTGATAACACCAAGGCCCCGGGTTCGGATCCTATATAGGGATGGCCGGTTCGCTCACTGGCTGAGCGTGGTGCTGACAACACCAAGTCAAGGGTTAAGATCCCCTTACTGGTCATCTTTAAAAAAAAAAAAACCAGGATATTCCCACAAGGATACACTCTGAGCAAGGATAGCTTTCACAGCTAGGTCATGTAGCCCTGAAAATAAACTTGGCCATGGGTCCATAACTCAGTTGG